CAATTATTTATATTTTTGTCTGATTTGGTTTCGGTAGTTCTTCTCAAACGGATTTCTTTTGAAGCGTTTCATAGTTTATGATGGTTAAGGATAAACAAACAATAAAAATGTCTTCATTATCATCAGCCCACATCAATCCACCTTTGGACATAAGCCTTCCACATTATGCTCCGATTTTCCATTAATTCACATCCATCTCCTACCAGCGACTTTCTACAAATGATCGCCCCACCTTACTGGAGGTTTTCCTACACTACGTTTGGAAATGTACACTCCAGAACTCGCTTACCCCATCGATTATCGGTTCGTCGATAGATATGGCCAGCCCACATCAGCTGCTGCCACTTCATCTTACTAATCCTGCATGCTATGTCGATCATTTTGGTTCTCTGTCGAATACCCTCGTTGAACTGGTGAACCAGCCGTACTGTGAGTGTCCACGTTTTAGCACCATAAGTCATGACGGGTAGGATGTATGATCGAAAATTTTACTCTTCAAATATTGTTGCAGAGATGATCAGAAGACTCGACGTATCACACTAAACGCTTCCCAGCCGCAAACATATGTTAATTACCATTAAAAAAAATTTTTTTTTTGTTGTATGGCTGCATGGCTAAAACGACCAAATAGATTCTAAATGGAAGCCTCTGTGAAAGTTATCCCGTCATTTCGCCGCCTCGGCATTAATCGACTAAGCTGCGCGGCCTCAAATAAGCCACTGAATAAACCCTTTAGGAGCTTTCACTTATTTCCTGCCGAGAAGGGTGACAGCACTATTAAGGCACAGACGTACTACTCCGTGAGTTAGCATGAAATATACCACATCTGAATAGTAAAGTATACAGTGACATTTGTAAAATAATTCAAAGGACTTGCGCTACCTTTTAAGACAAAAAGTTTTCCTATTTTTTTTATACATGTTCGGACACTTCTGTTGCACCATAGATATTCATTAAATAAATTAATTACATTTTGAAATTGGTTTTATTTGATTGAAACTTAAAAACTAAGACTACGACTGTGTTCGATGTTGTTTTCGACGCTGTATTTCTAATATAATAGCACTACTGAAGTTAAGATAAGTATTCTTTATTTATATTTAACAAATCTTTTCATATAATGTAAAGTTTGCAATCTATACATTCTAATATTATAAATATTTAATTATTTGTTTGTTAGCATCGAATAGACACCTAAACTACTGGACCAATTTTAAAAATTATTTTACCTATAAGAAGCTACATCATACGCGGTTCGCATAGGCTTTAATTAACGTGGGAGAAGCCTCAAAAAATCACCTAGTGATAAATAACAGATTGAACGTCTTTATGTAATTTGGTTGAAGAAGCGACGTAGTTACTTACCAGTATTCTGTGTAGTAGGTGAGATGCAAGCTGACAAAAATTAATTCATAATTTCTGTGTGCACGTTCCTCCCGTATGTCCAAGGTCACTGCCGCTTACCGTCACCTTAACTGTATCTTATTATATGTAGATTTATATCCATTTGGGGGGGCTTTTGTCAAAGGAATAAGTGATGTGAAGGAAACTATGTCATTTAACACGCAATAATAGTGGATTAGCTAGCGACAGACGATTAGTGGAATTTCAAACTCGTGAATGTCTGTTGTTAATTAATTTAATTGTTTTTACATTTTCAATGGTTTAATTATATCACAGCTAAGCTATAGATTTTTTTTAAGTATTGTCTTTATTAAAATAAAAAAAAAGGAAAGTTTTGATTCTTTATTTGCATCGAATAGGCTCCGAAACTACTGGACTGGTTTTAATTTTTTTTTTCACCTACGAGACGTTACATCATACGCGTGTATGATAGGTTAAAATTTACGGGGGCGAAGTCACAGGACCAATCTAGTATGTCAAAAATTAGAACACATTTTCATTTAATTTGAAAGTCATAATATTTCATTTGACTGTTTGGGTGGATTGCATGAAATTGGCTCAATATATTCGTATTTCAATAACACATCTATATCACACAATAACCCATTCTCTGTCCCTAACTACATTCATCGTATGACCTGTTGATTTTTATAGTTCGCAGTTTTACGCATTCTTAATTGTAAATACATGATTGTAATTCTAAAGGCTGCCTTTACATCTTTACCAACGTCACGTTAGTCTATATAAAATTTCAGAAATATTTAAGTTCAAAAAATATAGTAGTTTCATTACTCCATTCTTCGGTTTTACAGCAGTAATTTTAACTACCGACCATTTTAATGGTACCGACAACCATTCGTTACTATACAATTATCATCACAATTATAGACAGGCACAGCTAAGGAGAAGAAGGGGTAGCTGACAACCAATCCGTTCATTGTATGACTCCGACTGTCTGAGATGTTTTCGATAGCATCGTCAATTCCCCAATAGTGATCATTATTGATCACCCGGGCGTGGTTCCTCAACTGGAATTTTAACCGCGGCGATTATCTACCAGTTCCCGTGGTCATTATGAAAGTACACAATTTGCTGGGTAAGCCACTGCTTTTGACTTGCCTTCGGACTAGTTCGGCAGTAGGAGATTTATTTTGAGAGCTTGGATGCCATTAACAATCCGTAGTGGCGTGGTATCACAGTCCCCTTTCTCTAAAAAAGCGCACGTCAGCTACGATATAGTAAAAAAGGAGTAATGATAGAGTGGCTGACTCCATGAAATTTATGCCGTCTCATGATTTAAATTAATTATACAGCCTATGTTATTTGCCGATAATGTAGCTTAACTGGTGATATAATATTTAAAATCGAGTTTATTTCTTACAAACAAAAAAAAATCTTTCCTATTTAATTATATTAATTTAGTAAATATCTTCAAATCAAAGCAATAAGACTACAATGGCGTCCTAGAATCGCGAATGAAGCTGGTTGACCTACTAAAGGTTCTGTCGGTGATATTTTAATTAAGCTCCTTCTTATTTCGAACTCCCGAGAAGAATTCCTTGATTAAATTGATTGCGGTGCCCGTGGAAGCCTAAAATGTTCCCGCTGAAAATAAATTCATTAGTTAAGTCTTAAACGACTCGTGTTTAAACGTCAATTAATAACCGTTTAAGAGAGGGAGAAAGAAAAAGCAATTAATTGTGAAGTTATTTGTTGACAATGACGAATGTATTGAAATAAATAATAGATAGATTATATCACAATAGATTCGTCGACATTCACTTAATTGCGAGTTTGGTCATAAAAAATGAAATCAATATTTATTTTTATCCGTTAACGTTAAAACATTTTAGAACCTTTTCAAATTTTACATTTATATTATTTGCTTTATAATATTCTTGTATTTTATAGGTTGCACGGAAGAGATTTTTGCATACTATTTATTTTTCTCTCTGGGTAAATGTTATTTTGTCCTGTTCCTATTAAGAAGATTATTATTAAAATTCAATCATAAACCGTCATAATTTAATGGTTATCTCTTATTTGCAATTTAAAGTTCCCGTCAGGTAGAGCAGAATTCTTTAAAATATTGTTCTAATATTATGTTCGTCTGTATTTTGTCTTTGTCTTTTTCATAACGTATGTCGCAATTTATGGTTAAGGGGCAATAAGGGGTTATGAAATTTGTAAATATAATATTTTTAGCACTTGGTTCGAAATTTCTGATTAGGAAATCGAACACGGGAAACGATTGTGTACAGTTAGGCTTCATGATGAATTCTAAGTAGAAATAAAAAAAAAATACAGATATAATCGCAATGAAAATTATATCAATTTGAGATGTAGAGTAGAAAACAATATTCCTTCATATTATCTCTCGAGCTATATATGTCATAAATATCATATACTGGCAATTGGCACAATTTCTATGTAAAACGAAATATTAAAAAAAAGGAGTTTCAACATTGACTTTCATTCATTACATTTTCATTTTACATGAAGATATTAATTTATTCATTTGACATTGACAGAATTATGCGAAATGCGCAGATAAACCTTTAATAAAAGAAAAAGAAGATCGTCGTTGATGTCGAGGGAAACTGAAAAATGTGAATTGCTTATGTCAATTGGTCGTAGGACGAATGATTCAGAAATATAGCTGATGTGTCTATTATATGAGATATGTTAACAGCAAATATAATGATATCTAATGTCAAACATTTTTACATAATACCAACGGTTATATTCCGAGGCGTAGCTCTAACGTGACATCACGCCTACGTCATCAATCTTTCATATTGCTTTGTAACGTGGAGCGGAGCGGGGGCGTCGTTAAATGAAGATGTTAGTCGAATGTAAATTCAATCACATCGAATTCATATGAAAGCAAAAAACAATCAAGTACGTGTCTACTTCGTATACGAAACCTTCCGTTTGGTACAATTGATTACAATATAGATACACAACTACATAAATGAAGCAAACGTATTATATTATGGTTTGCAGGACTAAAAGGAGTTTGGTTTTACTTTTTGGTTTCTTCGACAGTCCAGGGTAGTTAGCCACTGGTCGTAAGTTGTTTTGGGATAATTGGCTGTGCTGCTTCCTGTTCTTTACATGACGATGATTTTCGAGTATTTGCCATATTCGATTTCACGCTTCAAGATTTAGTTGGAATTGGAACTTACGGGATCATTCACTATGGCAGCTCTCAGGGGCTGTCTGTCTATCCTCGATTTATTTGTATTCGTATGAGTTAAGGATGACGTATCTAAGGGAGGCTTACCTTGTCATAGTAAAACAAAGTCACCCACTTTGTTTTACTATGACAAGGTAATACTTTTTTGTAACGCATTTGTGAACCTGAAAATATGATACAAGAGTATAATCATAAAAGTATTCTTAAATGTAAAATTAACTACAAGAGTATTCTTAAATGACCTACGACAATAAAAGAACTTTAAAGTGAAATTGTTTAGGACCAATTAAAGAGTGGGGTAGTGTCTTTACTGCCATTCAGATCGGAATCCAAATATGTTGTTTTCATCGTTGTATTTACCAGTTGATCTAGTTGGTACAATTAATACGTTTTACAGAGCGATGTCCCTGTTGACCGGCTTTGTGGTCAGAACGCGGCCGCAGGGTGGCAGCTACCTCGGCTATGTTTCCCGCTCCGATCCTCGAGGAGCATTACCGGCGTGGCTTGTCAATAAGTTGGTATCATTATCATATTAATTTCTTCACATTGGAATATACTTTCCTATGGATTGAACCCAATATCGAGAGAACGGACCCACCACGCGGTCCCTATGCGGGTTGGTAGGTGTAACGACTGCAGATTCTGCCGGGATAATCGGTGTAACGTGCCATCTGAACCAGCAGTTCGAGATGATAAATCTTTGGTCTCGGCCATTGCGTAATTGCTTAATTTACATAACGCAAACCAAATACAAATTACTTACATTTGCGTGTTCAAAATTCCGTTTCCAGAGAAAATGCTTGTAGTTTTGAAAAGTCAATATTTTCCAGAGTTACGGCTCAGCTGGCCCCACGGCTGGTCCAGCAGTTACATATAGCAGCGCGCAAGTACCCCGGCTGGAAGGCCCTCACTGAGCTCCCATATCACAAGCCTTGGCGCCATCCTGACCAGGTGCCATCCTACAGGATCTCTCTTGCTGACGTAAGTGAATTTTGCTATTTAAAAAGTCTAAAAGACTGTCAGGCATATCCACATATCTTTATATCTTCATCTAATTTTACTCTTAAAAGGGCTATAGCTTCTACGTGCGGATGGGACCCGCCCTGTGGACCCGCCCACAGAAACTATAAGAAATTAAAGACTTTTATAATAAAATAAAATAAAAAAAAAAACAATTGTAAAGTCTACATTACGCGCTTGGTCTGATTATATTGATATGATGCGGATATCGAGCAACTTTCACAAGGACCAAGCATAGAATGGATCACCTATTATTTATTATATATATGCGATTTTATAAATCTGTACAAACAAATTTCTAAGAAAAATATCATTAAATAGTAGTGAAATGAAAAAGCCCCTTTAAAAAGATCAGTTTATAAGTTCAGATACTTACTTTTTCTCAGAAATTCAATTACATCGAACTTCGGATGTTAGGGATGAATTCTTTGAAAACTTTCAGATGTTTTAAAACTCATTATTTCGCAAAACTTTATTTGGATCAACAAAACCGTATGAGATCAGTACGAAGTTGTTTTGATAAAGTTTACCATTCGAAAAAACGGCTTATTTACATTGGACGACAGGGAATGCAGATGATTCTTGTAGCTCATTTTCGTTGGACGATAATCTGTAAATTCTCTATCCCCGTACCCGACATATTCTAGACAAGAATACAAGCTCTGGTTAACAATTCTAGGATGTAAAATAACTTTTAATGATCTTTATACATTTCATTAAAAGTTTGAAAAATGTTGAACCAAATTATTCATCTAAATCATATCATTTTGTTGTGTTTACAGTGCGTTGACCCTGATGCTCCACCACCACCAGAGGAACCGAAAGCTGACACGTCAAAGTCAAAGTTAGAAGTACCACGTCCAAAAGGAATCGAGAGTCACAGCGTCGAAGACTTAGGAGATATATCGTCAGAGTTTAGTGTCGAGGTGGACGAAGATATGTCAGACCTTACGTTAGACCCCACAAAGAAACGGGGCAAGTTCTACAAGCTAGTTAAATCAATGAAAAACAGACGGAAAAGTGTGCAAGTCGCGAAGAGCGCTGATAACCTTCTCGAGGGGAAACCAGAAGACAAGCAGGAAAAGAAGAAGGGCTTTAAATTTCACCGCAGATTCAGTCTTAGCAGAGGAAAAGAAGATTGAGCTCATTTGACCATTGGTTTCATGGTAATAAATTATTCTCATTCAATCACTTGGGAGATCTTCTACAAACCTTGAATGTGGTGTGTGTGATTTTGAAAGTGTCAGCTTAAAGAAGTGTCAGATTATAAGAGTGACAGATTTATAATGTGTCAGATTATAAATAACATATTTTTTTTAAGTACATTGTTTTTTATAAAATAAGACGAAAGGGGGATGTGGGTGCTTTTTTGTCTTAATATAATTTTAGATTGTTTTTTTTTATGATTTTCTTTTAATATTTATCTGGTTATCGATTTTACAATGATTACTACTGAAATATTACTGTTTGTAACATATCAGATATGAGACGCACACTAGTCAGTGTTTGGTAATCGATGTGTATGTGTATTAACATTTTCAGTTTGGGACCTACTTTCTAAATGAACTAACGGATAAGGTAATGTAATATCAATGAATGTTAGTTACGCTCGAAGTCATGTGTTTGATGATTGAAATACTGAAGAGAAAAGAGAGAGATTCGTTTAATAATTAAGAGTTATAAATTTTTGGTAAGGAATATAGAACTGTTGAAAAAAATATTTGCTACAAAAATAAGATTTTTATTAAAAATCTCACTACAAATTCTTTAAATAGATAAAAATGTTAAAAAAAATATGATTTTTCAATTTTAAGTATCTATCTATAATTATTTAATTTTGTTATTTAAAAAAAAAATTATCATGGTTTATTCAATCGTATTCAAAATAAATATTTAAGTATCTTAGGTACTTTATTATTAAAAAGCTAAAAAAAGACGCTTTCTCATGTGTTAGACATGTTTCTTCCTCAAAATAAACATTACACCAACTTTAATGCCAAATTCACTAAAAACAAGAAAGAGATGTGTAAGATAAAACCCAAAAGAGAATGAATAACTTTATATTTTAAGTTCTCAGTTCTTTGTTGTAATATAAAATAAATTAAGTTTAAGTTAATCGTTAATAAAAAAGATACAACATTCAAAACCAATGAGAAATTTACCGTAGTTTAATTCAGTAATCATAAATATATTTTTATTAATATTACCTTAGCCTTTTTTATATTATCCAACAAAAAACTTTTTTCTTGACTTTTCATCGCATTAATACAATAATATATTAATTTCATCGTAAGGTTTAATGAATACATTACTTATAAGGTAATATTATTTAATATCATATAGATCAGCATACTACTTGTTCAATATCAGAAAGAGAGAGATAAAGTAATATTAAATGTTATTAATATAAAACTATCTAGAAACGTTATAGATATGGCCATGACTTAGTTATAATGAGTTAAATGAATATAAATGAGACAACTTTCGCGTTTATATTTAGTTATATTGACGCTTCGGACCCTTTACAGGACTAAGGTGTTGAAAGAGATACCTTCGGATACATATGGTAATTTCTTACATTTTATGAACTTCATAGTATAAAATGAAAGCGATAAATAAGTACACAATAAAATTTCAATTGTCTTCCTACATTTCTAAATGGTCATTAGAATTTTAAAATTACATATATAGAGATCTCTTTTTTTTTAATCTTATGAGTAGCAGTTTGACACAATGTTCGGTGTGTAGATAGCTATTTAGATATCTGAAAAGGTTAGAGTTAAAGTTTCAATATGAACGTTTGTATTCTAAGGTTTAAATACGTTTTGAAAAATACTAAACTTTAATAGATAACTCTAAATATTTAATACTATATCTATATTTTGGTTAAAAATATTATTAATCAGTGATTTTGTTGTGTATATTTTAATTTATAATATTATTCATGTATTTGTTTATTCATATGTCCATTGATGTGATCAGAATGGTGTTAAAAACATGAAGCATTGTTTATATTTTTGACCTACTACAAAAAGGAGGAGGAGGTTATATCTTCGATGACGATGTATGTTTTTTTTTAATAAATTTGTAATAAAACTTGTAATAAATTGTAGCAGTATGTAATAAAAATAGACTTCTTTTTACAATAATCGGTTTATACTGAATAGTGCAAAAACATTTATGAACCTTATATTTTTCCAGAAACAGTATTGTAAAAAGTTAATCGAAGTCATAAAAACCGAATGAGATCAAATAAATCTGTACGAGAAAAGTGTTACGGACCAATTGCCTTTTATTACGTGAAAAGATCGACAATACCATGCCTTTTTGCTTCGTCACGGTTTTTCTGAGTCAAGTTCAAGGATATCCAGCGCTATTATGCTACACTTGATTGAAAACAAATTTACAAGTAAAATGTATAAATAAAAGGGTATTATTCGTAATTTCACAGATTTACTCATTGAGTACCATGTCAGCGAACGCAACAGCGCACAGACCTTTTATCAGGGCCCGATCTAAGGGTTGGGTCAAAAAAATGTTTTTAAAACTTAATACCCGAAAAAAGATATGATAGCAAAATATGATGGGGAATATAGTTTTTGCCTGGAGAAGGTTAAGTGTGCTTAAACTAAACAAATCGGATATGTCATTGTTATTATTGGAATCACATCTGGCGACTGAGATAGCACAAACTTGTAGGCATTTAAGATTTTTTTTTTCAACTGACGACGGCGTCATCACCAATTGTGACGCAATTTCGAGTTGCGGCCATGGCATTCATAGAGCTATATGATGGAGTGAGTGAGATGTAGCTTAATGGCTGTTTAAAAACCTATAGTACTACTTAATACGATACAAATATGTGGAGTGAATTATTGATTGAATGTCGACTTTCAAAAAGTAATTATGTGCTAAAAAATAAATAGACTTTATAATTATTATCATGGCGTCATCACCAATTGTGACGCAATTTCTAGTTGCGGCCATGGCATTCATAGAGCTATATGATGGCGTGAGTGAGATGTAGCTCAATGGCTGTTTAAAAAGAAAGATATTTAATAAACGGTAACGCTTACATGACGTTAATCGGAATTGTCTAACCAAACTGATAATTACAAATATCTTTAACTGTGGTAGTCAGTTTTCATTCGGTTTGTATATTGTGAGTCAGTGATGAATTGATTTTATATTGAGCTTTATAACTGAATGACCTTTCTAACCATGGTAGTGGATTCCCAAGCAATTAATGAGTAAATCGCGAGTTAGTTACGAATTGTTTTTTTTTTACCGAACATGTCGAACGCTAATTACTGAAGACAATTACAATGCAAATGATGGTGTCATGTAGAATTAATGTTCATAGATCTAGTGAAATAAGAGTACTCTAAACCATGACGAATCTAAATTCTAATTGTTTTTGTATAATCTTACCTTGAAGCAATGCCGTAGGACATAGAAGAACAACTACTTATCTTTCATTCATTCATTTTTAGAACATCCATAAATACTTTTTTGATTTTATTAAAGTACGAAATTTTCAAACCAAAAAGTTTCTTTTGCCGTTGGCAAAATTATACTCTTTAAGCGGTGTACCTACATTAGTCTTTTATTTTGTTGTGGTTTTCTTATAAACGTCGTTTTTCGATCAATAATATCGAAGTCGTCGTTCCAATGTTTTGTTTCGATCGCCAAGTTTCATTGAGCCGACGCTGTGTGTATATCTGTGGCGGAATTCAGAAATTGACATATATATTACCTATTAATATACTATTTATTACTACATACTATGTATTACTTTTAAAGTGTGTGCCTTTCAATATATTTCACTGTAATCTCTAGCTATTTCCTTTGATGAATATATACTTACGCCGAAGCAAACTATAATCATTTATATGCCTCTAAATTAATTGAATAAAGTGTCTTTGTGTATAATAAAGTATTAAAAAACATTTTCCTGTGTAATCTACAAAGTGTTTGCATTATAACTTTGCGTTATTTTGAATATTCATATTCATAGCTGCTCGCTCAATTTTATGTAGACATTTCAATATTTGTCAAACTCTTTTTATTTATTTTCTAATACAATATATTATCAATAGAGATACATCGATACTTCGTAGAAGAAATGTCGTTAACATAATTGGACAAAAATGATTATACATGCGCATTTATTTCAATTGCCTATCTGCATCGATTAAATGTGGTGGTCACGAGCGTTCTTCCTCGAGGATGTTGTATTCGTTGTAATAATTGTTAGATACGGACTCTTTATGAATAAACCTTTTTTCAATAAATCATTTCAGACATTTGAGTAATGATTATTAATCAAACTGTAGTTATGAAAGTTGAACTTATTGAATATTCTTCGTAATATGTTATACTGATGAGTGTAATAGCTTTGAAATTATTTTGTAATATTATTGTAAATTAGCTTGTTGACAATTGTTATTGTAAATATTCTGTGTTGAAATATAATTACTAATATTAAATGTTGGCTTTATTTACCACAATTGGACCGCAACTTGTTGTTACTGCTCTCCATCCAAGAGATTTCCTGTTAAGCTGTAATATCATGATCAACCTAGTCCGTCACGAACGGGTTTACCCTCTTTTTTTATATATATTTTTTTAATTTTAGACACTATCACATATGTTGTTCAAATTCTAAGATGAATAGCTAAATTCCCAGTATTATGACTTTATAATGATACTCATCTGAGACAACGAAGATACGAGACAATAAATAAAAGTTCATTTTCTACATTGACCCGACCAGGAATCGAACCCGGGACCTCAGAGATGACGACACCTTGAAACCGGCGAGTGAACCACTCTGCTACGGAGGTCGTCGTTAAAAGTGTAACATCATCATCTTCATCTTCAGCCCTTTTAATCAGCCTAAGCATATCATCCCGTAACCGACCCTTGCGAGAGTTACTTAATAATAAAAAACGCGGGCCGCGGCGCTTATCCGCTGTGCCATCAAGCTACTCGCCTTCCTTAAGGATGGAATTTAATAGGGACTACGGGTCATAAACACAACTCGGGCTGAGTGCCTCTTAGTAAGTATTAACGACTGCATATGCAGGTAGGACAGACTTAACATGTCTTTCGAAGCTCGAGATACCACATTTGGTCACCCATCCTATAACCGGCCCATGCGAAAGTTGCTTAAGCTCAGTATTACAGTGCGGACGTGTCAACTACTGCGCGTAATGTTAATATACATTAAGTAATTGAAGTTAAAATTTAGTATTTGCATGTCAACGAATAAATATGCTGATCATCTAAAATGTCGAAATTGAAGATATATGATCAAATATTCTTTATAGTAAAAATCGGCCAAAGATAAAATAATCTTTAATCAAATAAACTTGTTGAATGTACTTTTGAATCGTCCATCCTCTGCGGGCTCATTTTATTGGTCGATAATAAAATGAACCACGAGAATTACTCTCGCCATGCATAAATGAGCCATAAGTGCCGCGCTGGCTACAACGTCGCGGTGCTCTGATCGGATTTTCTGCATTGTCAACATCAGCTGCTAACAACGCTGGCTCAATAAAACTGGCGCCCCAGACAAAACACTGTTACACAACAGATTACAAGCCATATGTATGTGCACTGATTAAAGAGTGTAATTTACCGATGACAGGAAGGATCTCTATCCCCACCCTTACTTTCATAAAAGCAATTTCACAGTCATAAATTATTGCAGGCCAACAAACAACGTTTACATCAATGTATTGCCTATCATTAATCAAACATCTTACACCAATCAATTAA